ATATAAAACCCACCCCCACCACCCCACCGCTCCGGCGACCACTCCGGCGACTGTTCCGGCGACCTCTCCGGCGACTGTTCCGGCGACACTCCGATTCCGGTAACTATTCCGGTGACATGAATTTTTTTATACGGTCACAGTCCGGGTCACAAGTCACAGTCCAGGTCACAACCCAGGTCACAATCAGGTCACAGTCCAATTCACAAGTCACAGTCCAGGTCACAACTCAGGTCACATGTCACAGTCCAGGTCACAACTCGAGTCACAAGTCACAGTCTAGGTCACAACTCAAGTCACAAGTCACAGTCTAGATCACAAATCAGAATTTTGTTCATAATCACGAGTTATTTTTATTTTTTAATTTTTATAAGGATCACAAGTTATTTTCAAATGATCACAGGTAAATTTTTCGATGACAACTTAATTAATTTTGAGTCACAATTCGAATTTTAGGGGTCACAGTAAACTAATTGGTCACAGGTCAACTACTGGACCATGTACCACCATCACCTCCAAATGTCTCCACAACCATTGTTCCGGCGGTCACAATTAGTCCAATTATACGGTCTAGTTGATTACGAAACACAACACAGATTCAAACGACTGCCGCCTGCACAGATTCAAACAATTGCTGCTCAATTGCCTCGAAATTTGATCTCCAAAGTCACGACTAGGGCAGTTCCATTAAATTACACAAATTAGCATACACAAGTAACACAAATCAACTGCTGCCACCACCTGTTGGCGCTCAAACCCTAATTCCTACTCCCTACTCCCTCATCCTAACACCAACACGCTACGGCGGAAGCAATGCTGCTACAAACACAAAGCTCAACAAAAATGGTGAAGTTTTGAAATCGAACAAGGCAGTGGTCTTCCGGATGGCGGTTCATAGCCACAAAGCCACCATCGTAAAGAACTTCGGTAACGACACCCACGATCGTCCTTCCAGCCATTGCTTGTCGCGTGTGAAGGCATTTTTCAACCAAGAAAATCAAATGGCAGCTATAGCGGCAGCATCCCCAAAATCAGATCCAGAACCACACCCCCCCAAATCAGAGCCTCTACGTGTCGTCGTCATCGGCGTGAGTAGCCGCTGCGGCGTACGGCATAATCGCCGTCGCTATAGTGCACCACAGATCGCTGCCGACGGTGGTGGGCAAGTTACTGCCATCGCGTGATCTCGAGGTATTGCTCCGGCGTCTTCTCCTCAGATCTATTTAATTCTGCTTCAGATCTGCGCCGGAGATTCTCGTCCGGTGGTGAAGCTGCTGCACCAGAGCTTCTCTTCTAGGTGGCGGCGACGGGTTGCGTGGAGAGAAGAATAGAGGCGATCTGAGAGAAACAATTTGATGGTTTTGTGTGAATTGTATATATTATAATTAATTATAATATTTAATTAAATATAAAAATCTGTATCTATCTATAAAATATCTGATTTTTGAACATTAAAACTTAAAATCTGATTTTTGAACTTGGATCTTGAAAAGTAGGGCTCCATATAATTTTCACAATTATTTATAACTTTGCGAAGTTAAACGGGCTAGCGGGTTAATCGTGGCCCGTGACAGTGCAGCCCGCAGGTCACCTCCTTTAACCGTGAACCGCCCGCTCGGATCACGGGTCGGCCCACGATTCTGGGTCAATCCCGGCTGATCCGCTCGAATCATGGGTCGGCCCACGATTCTGGGTCGATCTCGTCTGATTTTCACTGGTCTGGTCGGCCTGTCCATGTTGACACGTCTACTGTGTCCCTTCTTAGCTATTTTATGTTTGGTCAACAGTACTTGAATTGATTGTATTCTGTTATTCATATCACCTACTGTTCGAGGTGATTTAAATTAATACAATTGTGGTTATTTAAAAATTAGAAAGAAAAAGCAACAGAAGGTAACAAGTACAACAGGCACCATGCAAATTAAAGGAAGATACCAATAGCCAGACTACTATAAGGTTAAATTACAATGGAAGACTAACACTACAACATTTGCATCTTAGCTAAAGCAAAAATACCTTACACCTACTGTGATAATTCTAATCCCCATTTCACTCAAAAAATAAGTAAGAATTTCATTTTACAGCATGGTATCAGCATTTGTGGGCAGCCTCTTGAAGAAGCTAACAGCACTTGAAGGCAACTTGTTCCTGAACCTGGGTGGCCTCAGATAGTACACACCCCAAAGAGCCACCACCCATCTGATTGGCACCAAATAGAACCCAAATGCAGCCATAAAGCAAAGCATCACAAACAAGAATGTAGCTCTCGGATCACGCCAGCTTAGCAATGCTTGAAATCTCTCACCTTGAGTTGCCATATCCCCAACAACAGTTTGAATCCTTCCAGCAACGCTCCTCAAACGATCATACCTCATTCGGACAATCTCAGCACTTCGACTAGTTGGGAATGAGTCAAACTCCTCGTCCAATTCGTCAGGGAGAATTGTCTCTGCAAAGGACAGTCGAGTATCCATGTGAGGTGGGTAACATGGCCGGGACTTATATTGCCAAATTCCCAAGGTAGCCAGCGTGAAAAACATGCAAGGAATTATTAGCTCGGGGACCAACACAAGGATGATGAAGACAATTAGACATAATGTGGAGTATACAGGTTTGTGCCAATTTCTCAAGGATTCTAGAAACCTGCTCATAACAACAAACCAGGCCAAAACATTAGTAAGCCTAAAGAAATTAGCTTTGCTCTTTCTCATGCTCCACATATGAGAGTCATGATCAAGCATGTACTCCACCACTTCTCTTCCCAATGGAGGCTCTGCTCGACTAAGCCTTGAGGCTATCACACTCATAGCCTGGCACCTTAAACTATCCAGTTGATTCACAGACAATGGCTGCACATAGTGCATCTTTGGCAGCAATGGCATTGTGTAAGTATGTAACATATTAAACATATTAGCACACGAAAACCGAACAGCCAAATTAAGCTCTCCCATTTTCTTCACACCAGAAGGATGCAACATGAGCAGTGGGTAAGCATGAGTATAAACTCTGTCAGATTCAAGAGATGACAATCTGATTCTAACCTTCCCAATGCGAGTATCGCGATTTCCACCTCCTGATGCAGTGTTCTTGTCAATGTGCGAATTATCAAACACCCCAATGGTAATGACAGTGCAAGGATCATAAACTTCCCAATTGTACTGCTCATTCCACTTGGGGGCCAAGCTGTCCACTACAGTCCGAGTTCGAACCCATTTCTGCCCATATTTTGCAACACAATAAGCATCGGTCGAGCCTCCTTTGCCTTCTTTTATCTTCATGGGCATAATATTTGTTGCACCCAAAAGGCCAACTTCAAGAACACCAATGTGGGGCTTCCAAAGCTGCTTAGCTGTTGGCCTTACATCGCTAATGTACATTGTGGCCTGATCGAGCACATGATAACCTCCCTCAAGTGAAGCACGGAGGTGAATCCGAGAGGCAAAGCGAACCACAGCCTTGGACTCGTTGGGGCTGCTGAATTGAGTGTCAAGATTAAACCATCTAGACATCACTGGCTTGTCATCAATTCGCCTTTCAATATTTGTCATGGGTAAAATCAGTCTCCCCACAACCTCATCTCGATTCAAAGCTAGACGATCCTCAACTGAGATCAACAGATAGTCCTCAAATGGCTCAGCAGCCACAAACATCAAATCCTCATTCCAAAAAGGATTTGAAAAGCTCCTATTTGTCATTGGTGAAGCAACCCTAGTCCTCAAAACTTGGCTTCCCACTTGAACTTTAGCAAAAAGCTCTGGATATCTCACCATATTATTCATTGGCGCCCCTTTGCCCCCCAAAATAATGTCTTGTGCTTCCATCACACTCACTCTCAAATACCATAGCTTTGGCGAAAGGTAAACCTTAGACTTAATCGAATTCAAACCATCAAAATGCACATTAGCCGCCTTGGAATGCCAGGCTTCGGAGAACGCCTCATCTGCCTGAGTCCCGAACCACATGGACACCATCACCTCACCACATTTGGCCATATCACCTTTCTTGTCCTCCATTCTATACCACTGTGGTGCCAATTGACTATCAGGTTGAACCCTTTTGGGTACCTCACTTAAATCGAACGAAACTCGCCCCAAGTACTCATCTTTACCACTCTCCTTCACAAAAATCTCCACCGTAGATGATTGTATACAATCCTTGGAAAAGGCAAAAATTTGGTCCCAATCTGCATTGCTCAAAGAAACCCTATTTGTAATCCCCTTGTAATTTCCAAGCTTCACCTCAGCCACAAGCTCACCACTACCAAACAGTGAAATCTCACGAGCCCTCACAACTCTCACATACAAATACTGCATTTGCTCAACAAGATCATAGATAGAGCTCGTTTTATCATTGTTCAAGCCACCAAGGTGAGGGCTGGTCTCCTTCAACGCAAACTCGTTCAACCCAGTTGAGTAGCCCCCAATCCCTCTACCATGACTGATGCCGACGCTGTGAGCAACGCCTGCAGCGGCGGGAATAACAGGTCCAGGAATGGTAGTAATAACAACAGGCTTGATATCACCTGGGCTTGGCCCCACGGGCTTTGGGTGGGTCAGATTTTGAAACCCCAGTCCCATTTTGTTGCTTTCTTGGCCCATTTGCTGTGGCACCATCAAGTTCTCACCTTGCTGCTGCATTTTCCTGTTTTTCTTGGAAACAGCGCGACCAGAAACCACCACTCCAGCACCACCACTGCCGTCGCTGTTAATCGCCTGTTTAACCTCTTCTTTCGTAGATAAATAAAGCTTCAAGCTAATCTCACCGCGTACGTGAGAAAACAAGCTCCTTTTATCCAGCATATAAAGCTGAGCCATTTCTTCACCTTCTTTCGCAATGCTCGAGCCCGAAACTCTAACCTTCCCCAAGAAATTCCTGCTGTTACTCGACCTCCTTTCATTGAAAACATTCACTTCTATGGTCCTGTAAGGTAAGTCTGCGACGTCTTTTACGTGAAAAACCAGCTTCTCGTTCCATACTGGGTTGAGTTCTCTATATTTGACTTGGGTTTTTTGTCTCTGGTTCTCAAACTCTACCTCTACAAATGGAGACGATGAGCCTTCACCATCTTTTGGCATGAGGTTATGTGCAGCCACCACTTCCACTACCAGCTTCTCTTTGCTGCTGTTATTCATGGATGATTTTCTTCCTTCCGTTTTTCTGTTACAGAGAGTAAATGTGCAGATATAGACAGTAGAGATATAGAGAGAGGAATGTATTGAAGAGAGAAGGAAATGGATTAGTAGACGAGTGTGTGACAAGAATGGGAGGTTGTCACAAAGAAGATACAGCTCTACTTAACTTATATCAGAGTGCGTCACACCACGCATCATTATCATTAAAATGCATTAATACCATTGACCTTTTTGGTCACAAAATCCAAATATTATGGTAACTTAATGATAAAGGAGTAATGCTGATATTATCCATTACCATAAATATTTAGATAAAAGTGACATAACTAAATAAATTTCAATTCACATTGTCCTATCCTATTGGTTAAAAATTGTTGTTTCCACAGTTGAAGTCATTCGACTTATAACAAAAGTTTAATAAAAATTTAAAGTTCGTCAAAACCAACTTATTAAAACACGTTTGATTTCAAATTTCTATTACGAGTCCAAAATAGAAAATGAAATGTAGCTCAAAAAATGTGGAAATACGAGGAACACATGATGATTTATGAGTTAAGAATTGACTGTGTAACGATAATGAAGGGTTGGTTTGTTTTCTTACAAAGATTAAAGGATTAACTTACCATTAGAACAATATATTAAGGAGCAGTGATGAATTTTACCTTAAAAGGGAAATCAAAGAATCTTCCTTCAGCATGAAGTACACACAACCACGCTCCATGGAACCCGCGTGAATAGAGTTGGCAACTGAAGGGGTTGGACAGGAAAAGGATAAAAATGTTTATCGTCATCCGAGGTTATTGGTTTTTTCTTTTGTTTTGTTTTTTTTTAAATATTTGTATATAGCATAGAATGTTGGAGTTCCGCAGTTACGAAGCGCGTGAATTTCTCCAATGCTGTTGTCCTGTGGATTAAAGCTGCCTGAAATAGGCGGCATGAGGCTCTTCTTCTTTTCACGCCTTTGGGTTGGCACAGTACTCAACCAAGTCAAGCGGTCTCCATTCAAATTTGGAAAAATCCATTTGTACAGAAATTGTTTTACACAAATTCATCGGAATACTAATAATGGGTGAGCCCACCTTGTACTACAAAAACTTAAAAAAATGTGCGGGACTCACACGTGTGTGTTTTCTGTCAAAGTGGCTTCTGTACATGAAGCATTGCTGTTCAAATTTTAATAGGTTAAACTAGTCGTGTATATCAAGTTTGACACTTCAAGCATTGTTAAAATCTGTGTCATTCATTATTGAAAGTGCTGTGAAGATTAAAAAAATGTTACCTCACAAGAAAGACAAACTTAATATATAGTATACATGTAGCTTGATTGAATTTTAATTCATTTTTTTCTTTTCTTATTAATCATACGTTTTTCAATAAAATAATATTACAAGCAAATACAGAATTTTCCCTCATTTAATAGCCATTATCTTGAGAAAGTTAAGTTTTGAATAATGATTTTTCGAATAATTTATATCATTAAAAAGTACAAAAAATTTTAGATTTACATGTAAAATATTTTATTATATGCATAAATGAATTTGTGGTGGGGAGGGGGTGGGGAGTGACCGCATAGTAAATTTGAAAATTCAATATTTTGCCCAAATTTTTATACGAGATTTTCAAAGTGTACACCAAACATAATTGAGTTAAAAATGAGTATTACAATTGAAGAGTTTTGAAATAATGATGACAACCATTATTTGGATAAAATGAAGTTTTAAGAAGTGATTTATTTTAGAATGTGTGGTTAAAAAATGGGAAAAAAAATTAGATTTACGTGCAAAATATTTTATTGTGTACATGTGTAGTTGAAAACGTGCATTTTTTTTTTATAACGACTCGACTTCTATGCCCAAACCGTTATATCATACTTACCGTCCGTTTTGAGTGGACATGTGCTCACTTATTTCCTAACTGCTTTCTATTGCGTCTCACAAGATTCGAATCCACCGCCTAACGGAATCATATTAGACCACTTCTACTGAAACATGGTTGTATTCTCAAGTAATGAAACTCTATACACTATCAAGAACGGTAGGGGTTTGAGAGACCTATGACACTAAAACTTTCTCGACGCTCAGGTTAAAGTGAATTATTCAAGAAAGAATGTCATCAAGAAATAAAGTGAATCACAACCCAGTGTTGGCATCTACATTCTTCTCTTGCTCACCACTACAAGACCACAATTTCTCGCAAACTTTAACCCCATTCTTCCCACCATCATTCCCAAAACTCTCCCTCCCTCCTTTTACCCTTCCTATCTCCACAAACTCCCCTATAGAGGCTCAAGCTAAACGGTCGAAAATAAAATGCAGTCCGGCCAGGGGCGGACCCAGCACATGGCGAGCTCGGGCTGGATCCTCTGGGAACAATTTTTTTTGGTTGACAATGAATAAACTTTTTAGATTATATACTTTGTAATTTGTTTTACTTTCAAATATTTCTTGTAACTCAACTGAGTAGAGCTCCTATATTCATATAGGAGATCCTAGGTTCGAATCTCTTTCCCATCGTTTTTATTGTGTAAGATTTTGAATATTTTAATATTTAACTTTTACCAAAATTAAATAGAATGGAGAGGTGATTCGAAACCGTGACCTCTCCTTAGAATAGTGAGAGCTTGACCATTGTGGCACTTCTTGAATACGATTCTAATCCTATCAGAATAATATATGTTATATTTTAGCGGGTTTAATGCAATCCTAAAAATTTGAACACATGCTCTTCCTCTGAATTATACAAATCTTGGTCACAATATTATTTGGTGAATATTGCTAATTTTTACAACAAAATTATATATGTTCAGTTTGAACAAAATAATTGTTATATTTAAATTTTAGACTTTATTTGATTCTTTTTTTTTTTAAAAAAAAA